AGGAAAGTTCTGCGATGTGCAGACCCCAGGCCGCAGCCACGCGGTTTAGGGTTCAGGGTTTACGGTGTTTAGGGTGTTTAGGGTTTGGGTTTTTAGGGTTTAGGGTTTTTAGGGTTTTTAGGGTTCAGGGACTCGTACATAACACCAGTTTTCAGTTCACGGATTCGGTCCTAAACACTTAAACCCTAAACCCAAATCGCAACTTGCATTTTAATCTCCATTTTCCCTAAACCCTAGGCCCACTATATCCCCAAAAGGCCTCCTTAAAGGGGGGCCCAGGGCTTCCATTTTTTTCTTTACATTTTCTTTTCCATTTGATTCTCCATTTTGGGGGGCCGAGCCGACCATAAACCCTCAAGCTAGAGGGTTTAGGGTTTATAGTCACCCTTAAGTAGATAGAATATGGCTTTGGGTTAATAATAGGATCCTCATATACCCCATATTCTATCTACTTGCAGTGGACTAGGGTTTAGGGAAGCTGCACAATTTCAGTTAAAAAGCATGGGGTTTCACAACTAGGGACCCTAGTAAAGGGGCCAAATGAGGTGTTAAGGAGGGTTTTGCAGGGGTTTCTAAAATTTTGGTTTTCCGAAAAATCAGGAGTACCCTTTCGGGGGCTCACCATAAAAAGGATGAACATATGTCAGGGTCCCAAAAACATTTAGTAGTTTTAATTTTCTTTTCCACCCCCCATCTCTCCCTGATTTGGAAACACCCACATTGCCCAGTTGGAGTTCACGCAGATTGAGCCAGGGACTCAGATGGACGACGTAGCATGCACGGTTTAGGGTTTAGGCTTCAGGGCTTGGGGGCTTATGCTTCGAGTGACAGCTGATCTGCGGATGTAGGGTTTCGGGTTGCGGGCACTGGAAAGCTCACGCTGTCATGTGAGCCATAGTCTAAACTCCTTAAGGGGGGTTATTTAGGGGATTATATAGGGAACTACTATAGGGGTTATTAAGGGGGATACTAGGAGTTTAAACCACAGCTCGTGTGGTGAGAGTAGCTTCTAAAGCCTAAAGCGTAAAAGCCTATACCGAAAGCCGTTGAAGTGATGCTCCGAGGTGGTGTGTCTCAAGAGGACTTAGGGCTCAGGGCCGCTGGAGGTATAGGGTATAGGGTTTAGGGTTTAGGGTTAATCAGCAACCCAGTGAAGGTCTCAGGCCATAGAGTTTATATAACCCCAATATACTCCCTAGCAGTTTCCATTTTCTCTTCCATTCTGCCTATAGAACCCCAATATACTATAGTAGTCTCCATCTATGACGGGGATCCTTCATCTGGCATTTCCGATATTTGCTCCTAAGTGCCTTCTACTTTCTAGATTCACAGGCGGCTTGCAAAAGTGGAGGCCCCTATTCGCCCCCGCATAGCAAGAGCCATTGGGTGTATGTCCTTAAATCCTCAGCCCTAAATCCTAAGTCCATGAGCCTGAAAACCTTTGTTTGGAAATTCCCACCTCCGAAATCCTGATTCTTTGAGACTGAGGAAGCGTGACCAAAAGCAGATCTTCACATTACTGGAGAAGGCGACAGTGCCACGTTTAGGGTGCCCTATATTAGCGTTTCCCAAAATTAGGGGTACTTTCGGGGGGGTCCCCATAATAAGATTTTTCATATATACAAAAATATGTTTTTTTGGAGGGTCACCGTACTCAGGGAAACTACCATATCTTCAGGGCCGTAGTATAGTTGCCGGAACCCTAACACCCGAAGCCTAAATCCAAAACCCGCAACCCTAAACCCTAAACCCTAAACCCCAAACCCTACACCCTAAACCCTAAACCCCAAACCCTAAACCCTAAACCCTAAACCTTAAACCCTAAGCCCTAAACTGATTATGTTGGGCTTGTTCCGGGCTACCTAACCCACCCCCACTATACTAGCCCGTAAGGTTTCCCCATGATTGGTGGTTTCAGGGTTTAGGGTTTAGGGATTAGGCTTAGACGACAACCTAAGCTTGGGGGTGCACTGAGCAATTATGACGTTTCTGGTGGCTTTATTAACAGCAGCATTGAAATTTTATTTTTAAACCCCAAACCTACCCTAGCTAAGTTACGCAGGGTTTAGGGTGTTTAGCCCGCCTTAACCCTAAACCCCAAACCCGAAATAGTAGTCTCCATTTTCTTTTCCATTATCCCTATATAACCCCTATAGAACCATATATAATCCCTATATACCCCCATATTCTACTTAGGGTGTAGGGTTGCATCCGGGTTTGGATCCCCGGGGCCCTTCGAGGCTCCTCCCTGAAACGAGCTCCAGCTCCCGCAGACTTAGCAGACCTGGAGGGGATTAGGGCTTTGGGGTTAGGGTTTAGGATTTAGGTCAAGGTTTCTGCATTTGAGGTTTCTGGTTTTTGGGGTTTAGGGCTTTGGGTTTAGGGTTTAGCATTTAGGTCAAGGTTTCTGCATTTGAGGTTTTTTGGTTTTGTTTGGGGTGAACTCTGCTTGTGGGGACTCTGAGGGATCCGGTTGCTCTTCAGGACTAAGCCTGCTAAACTCTAAACCCTCAGCCCGACGCCCTAACCCCGTACCCCTAAACTCGACTGAGGCTTAGGCCGAGGGTTCAGGGTTCAGGGTTTAGAGTCTAGTTAAACCTGTTAGTAAGCCTTTAAGGAGTTTTGACTCTAGCTCACATAAGCCTTACATAGATTATACACCTCCCCGTTTCCCATATGAGCGCCGCATACGCTTTGTATAAAGGTACTCCGTAACTCTGTACTCACCACCCTAATCCCTACATCCTAAATCCTAATCTTTGAAGCCTAAGCTTGGAACTCCTGAGCCCTAAGCTCTGGAACCTAACCCTGACCCTTGGACTGCTAACCTCAAAATCTGAAATACTGAAATTCCAAAACCCTCAGCAGTCCAAACACATGGAGTCCCTTTTAACCCCTTATACGAACCCTGAATTGTGCAGTATTTTATTTGGGGATATTATGGTACCCAATATAGAGCAAGATTATATCATGCTTTTGGGGTACAGTATTTCATATAAGGAATATGATCTTACTGGGTTAGGTTCCCCTTAGATTGCCTTGATCAGCTTTGATGATCATGAAGCAGCCCGAATTAAGCTGGGAACCTAGTGGGGTAGTGCAGAGGGGTTGGTGGGGCAACCCATCTAAGCCCTAAACCCTAGACCCTTCCCTTGAAGCCAGATCTCGGACGTGAAAGACAAGATCCGCAACCTCAGCGAGGCTCGGAAAAACCTTCGCTCTGAAGGGTGCATATGAGTTATAGGCTAAACTCCTTAAGGGGGCTTATATAGGGAATTGTATAAGGGACTACTATAGGGGTTATTAAGGGGACTAGGAGTTTAGATGCTAGCTCATATCATCTGATCCTATACCACCCGGCGGCAAGCCCTCACGCGGTCGTGCCGCGTGTCTCGTGCCAGCCTCAGCCTTGCAGCGTGTGGCAGAACTAGGATTTGAGCGCAGACTTGGAACAATGACAATTGAGGTCAAGACTGGGCCCACGCCGATTCCAGCGCCTGGCTTGGAGACAGGCGTTTGGGGATGCGTGGACGCAGCGCTGATGCTGAGGACTGGTTTGCAGCCGAGTACGCGACGGTCTTGGTTGACATTTCTTGCGTGTCTAGCCGTGCTTATTGTTGTGCCTCGCAGCGCGTCCGCTGGTGAATGTTGCGTTTGTATGGGCCTGATATGAGGACCTCCCGAAGCAAACGTTGCAAGACGCCATACGCTCGGTTCTTTTCTTTTGTAAGGTCCGGGGGACGGTTGTTCTGCCTTGGTTGCGTTGTGTTGGCCCGCTTTCCTTTTGTCTGTGCTTCCTGGAAACCAGTGACACGTTGCTCGGTTGTTCGCTTGATGTGCTTTTGGCCAGGTCCGCTTTATGCGACGTACGGCCCGCCAAGGCCGCCGAACTGTTTGATTGTGGACTCGCGCTGGTCTGTGCTTTGCATAGGTCTTGTGCGATCCCGGCCCGAGGCTACTTCCGCGTGGGTGATTTTTGTGAGCTTGATTATGCACACAGCTGTGACGGTCAGGGTGGTCCAAGCCACCCGGGCCACGCACTGCGGCCGGCTCTCGGAACCTTGGGAGTGCTGGCACGTTCAACTGCTTGTGTGTGTTTGATGTGTTAAGGTGGTCAATGGGCACCCAAACACACAGGCTTTGCTTCCTTCGGACGTGTCGATGTGGTTGACGGTTTAATTGTGCGCCTTTTGACCAGCTCATTTCTACAAGAGCTCGCTTTTTCCGCTCACGAAAAGCTGCCATCTCAGCTTTGCTCTACGCCAAGGCTTGCTTCTAGTAGTCCTTGGCTTCAGGAAATGAACAAAACCAAGCACAGTGAAAACGGCAACACTGTGCCGGGCTCTCGGTCTCGGTCATCGCGAGCTTGTCGTTCTGAGAAAACCTTGTGACTTGAGGCGTGTGTCCGAGAGTGATATGGACCGGCTTCGCCGACTGCAGACTTTGCGGAGAGCTCGGGATCTTTTCGTGAACTCATTGCAACTGCTGAATCACCAGCGTTCAACTTGGTTTCTGGAGGCCCTGCAGACCCCTCATCGAGGACGCTGATCCTACCGAGGCATGCTGGCTTCCGTGTTCTTTCGTGAAGCCATGTGTGTCGGTTGCAGCGTTCAACGTTTGTTGCTCAGGCCAGTCCGCAAGTGGAAGCGATGCCGACGGTGCAGGCTGCTCAAGCAGAAAGTGATCCTGCCGGGTGCTTGTGCAGCTTTGGTGGAACATGGTGATGAGTTGCAGTGATGCGCTGGAGAGGACCTGGGTGACATGGAAAAAGACCCGAGGCTTGTGATGTCTTCTCGCATTTCCCTGCTGTTTGCGTTGTCTGTAGTCTTGCAGGCGGGCGTCCCGGCCGTGCCCGTGGCGCCCCGTGCCATTTCTTTTTCGTGATTTCATTTTGTGCCTGAACTTGTGGTTGCCTGCTGCGTGGCAGCTATTCTCAGGGACTGCAGCAGCGCAGGGCCGTCAGGCAGGAGTAGGCGCTTGAGGTAGGGGATGCAAGTAGTAGGCGCGTTTGGACAGGTGACCCAGGTCCCCACCCGAAAAGATTTCGCCTGCATTTGGACGGCCGGCGCGAGGCTTTTACAAACAGGTGCATGCGCCGAACCTTTCGGCAGCAGAGTCATGTTCGCCCAGGTTTTCTAGATCTCTTCCGACGGAGGCGGAACAGGTGGTGGTGCTGGTAGTTGGTTGTGGCGGTGGTGGGCTGTGATGGTGGTGATGCTGGTGGGTGATGGTGGTGCTGGTGGTGCTGGTGGTGCTGGTGGTGGTGGTGGTGGTGGTGCTGGTGCTGGTGGTGCTGGTGGTGGTGGTGGTGGTGGTTTAGGTGGAGTGCAATAAGGTTGGGGTGATACAGGATCCGATGACAAGTGCGCCCCAAACCCTGAGCCCGAAACCCTAAACCCGAATCCCTAAACCCTACACATTGAAGATCGCGCAGTATCCTCAACTGGAGAGTCGGAGTTTCTGCAGGGAGTCTGAGGTATTAGCGTTGGAATAGTTTGCCCTTCAGTTTCAATTTCACGTCCATTTGACTCTCCCTGATTTGCACTAATCTCCCCCCAAATAGTATACAATCCTGCATATCCCTACATCATCCCTATAAACTCCAAGCATGCATTTCATTTTGCGTTTTCTCCATGTGACTCCCTACTGTCACGAAACGCAGTGGGCTGGGTGGGATCCGGGGGAGCGAGGGTTGAAAAAATGGCTTGGCTTGAAAGGCTAGACTGCGCTCAGGGCTGGGATTTCGGGGGGGAGGTTTTCCGCAAGCCCTTCTTAGAGGTTCCCTACACCTTAACCCCTAAACCCTAACCCTAAACCCCAAACCTCAACCACATGTCCTCATTTTGGGGGTGCCGGCGGGTGTGAACGGGGTGCCCGCAGTACTGCTCAAGTAGCCCTTGGTGGCGGAAATCAGCTATAGTCTTAACTCCTTAAAGGGGTGTTTTATAGGGGATTATATAAGGTTATACTATATGGGGATATATAGGGTTTAGGGTCTAAACTCCTTAAAGGGCTTTATATAAGGGATTGTATAGGGGAGTATTATAAGGGGTTTTTAAGGGGGATACTAGGAGTTTACACTATAGCTTAAATGTGCTTGGTTGGGGCTATCTTGCCGCTGCAAGAAAAGCTTGTGAGTGCTGAGGTTTCGTTTCTGCCGCTGGCTGCCAAGTTATAGCCGGAATTGCTGCCAGCAGGTTAATTTGAGAACAGTTTAATGGCCTACATAGTTACCAGTCTCATCGTTTTAGAATCTGTGTGTAGTTATGGCAGTTATGGGTATAGAGCACATCGAATAAACCTTAAAAGGATTCCGCGTTGTACATCAGGGTCATGTTGTTTAGGCCCCTGTGCAACGTGCCGGTGTCCCAGGCTTCATCATGTCGATCACTCTCCATGTGAGCCTACTGAGCGGCAGGAGAGTTTCTCTTGAAACTGGCTTGGATATCAATGTCGGAACTTTCAAGATCCGCGCGCAGAGCGCTCTGTCAGTCGGGAAGGGCAGACTTGTTCAATCTTGCGGATCCGTACTGGATGAAGCAAGGACCATCCGAGAATGTGGATTGCATAATGATGATGCCCTAAACTGGCAAATGCGGCCAGTGAACATACTGGCTTCTCAAGACTCACCCGGTTTCAGCATACCTGCTGCATTTGCTGCAATCCTTGGCGATGGATCTATGGTGAGTTGGGGTCAAGCTGACTTTGGTGGCGACAGCAGTGCTGTGAAAGCTCAACTGATGAATGTTCAGCAGGTTCAAGCCTCCACAGCTAATTATGCATCCGCTTTTGCAGCCATCCTTGCTGATGGATGCGTGGTGACCTGGGGCAATGCTGACTGTGGTGGTGACAGCAGTGCCGTGCAAGATCAACTGAGGTGCGTGCAGCAAATTCAAGCCTCTCGTGGGGCTTTTGCTGCCATTCTTGTTGATGGATCCGTTGTGACCTGGGGCTATGCTAAGTGTGGTGGCGACAGTAGTGCTGTGCAAGATCGACTGAGGCATGTGCAGCAGATTCAAGCCACTTGTCGGGCTTTTGCAGCCATCCTTGTCGATGGATCCGTGGTGACGTGGGGCGATGGTGGCACTGGTGGCGACAGCAATGCTGTGCAAGATGAGCTAAGAGATGTGCAGCGGATTCAAGCCTCCACTGCCGCATTTGCCGCCATCCTTGGTGATGGCTCTGTGGTGACGTGGGGCCATGTTGGCAGCGGTGGCGACAGCCTTGCTGTGCAAGATCGACTGAGGAATGTGCAGCAGATTCAAGCCAGTCACAACGCTTTTGCAGCCATCCTTGCTGATGGATCCGTGGTGACGTGGGGCAGTGATCACTCTGGTGCTGATAGCAGTGCCGTGCAAGATCAGCTGAGGTATGTGAAGCAGATTCAAGCCTCTTGTGGGGCTTTCGCTGCCATTCTTGCTGATGGGTCCGTGGTGAGCTGGGGCAATGCCAACTGTGGTGGCGACAGTAGTGCTGTGCAAGATAAGCTGAGGTATGTGCAGCAGATTCAGGCCTCTCGTGTGGCTTTTGCTGCTATTCTTGCCGATGGATCTGTGGTGAGCTGGGGAAATACTGACTCTGGTGGTGACAGCAGTACCATGCAACATCAATTGAGGAATGTGCAGCAGATTCAAGCATCCGCCTCCGCTTTTGCTGCAATTCTTGCTGATGGCTCCGTGGTGACGTGGGGCAAGGCTGCATATGGTGGCGACAGCAGTGCCGCGCAAGATGAACTGAGGAATGTTGAGCAGATTCAAGCCTCGGTTGGTGCTTTTGCTGCCATTCTTGCTGATGGATCCGTGGTGACCTGGGGCAATGCTAGCTTCGGCGGCGACAGCAGCGCCGTGCAAAATCAGTTGTGGGTGTAGAACAAAAAGATGTTGGTATGGTCCACGCAGATGTGGTAGAAGTTATTTAGGGCTTTGTGTTTCTGCAGTTCCTACTGCAGCACACGACCTTTCAACCTGTGCATTGTGTCTGAATTGTCCCATGAGATTGAACCACACATCTTAGGTCAATCCCCCAAACAGTAATAGCCCTAAATGTGGAGTTAATAGGGCATCAATATACCTACAAAAGTCCCTTGTGGTACCCATTACTGAACCCTAAACCCTAATGGTGGGGAATTGATTCAACCACAACCTAAATTCTAAACCCTCAAGCATCAACCTAGGTGGCATTTTGGGATGATGGTTCATTAC